CCTACCTAGTACTTCTACTTGCTGCCCACTGTATTAGAAAAACCTACCTTGTGCTTCTACTCTCTGGCCACTTTATTAGAAACACTTACCTTGTGCTTCGACTCAGAGGCCACTTTATTAGAAACACCTACCTTATACAGGACTGTAGTACTGTGCAAAAGTCAGAGACCACTCTTCTATCTCTCTGTATTTATTTGTTTATTTATTAAGTATCCAGCCAAACCGGATGTTTTTACTCGTTATTCATTTTTTATCACCAGGAAAGAGCAGAAGCTTTGAAAACTATTTTTTTAGTATTTAGTGTGTCCACACTTTGCCCTTATCACTGCTTTGTCTTTTCAGGAGTCTTGCTTTCAGTTTTTCAAAGAAATCTGCAGGGATATTTTTCCACACCTTCAAAGTTCAATCTTAGAAGTTGATTGCAGTTTTTGCTTCTGACAATCCAAGTAATCCAACACACTTTCAGTGATGTTGATGTCTGTGGACAGGTTATTTTTCTTAGAGAACCAGCAACTGACCACAGATTTAGGACTAGACGATGACTAACACAAACTTGGCGTCAACTGATGAGTTACAGTATCAGCTGTACACCAGCAAGAAAGAGCTACAGTGGAGAGGTTTCTTATGTTAGTGTTGGTTAGTTAGTTATTTTTTTTTATTATTTGCATTTTTATAAGGTTAACAGTGATGCACTCAGTTCCTTACCGTCCTCCATTCACGATGGATATTTTCAATTGTACTTGAATTATGTATAGATTCTGTTAGGAAGCATTTGTTCCTGGGAATCCTAATCCGAGCATGAAGAGAAAACTGGCTTGGGCACCTTTGGCCCATATTACAGCAGTTAAATATGGAGTGTGCTGTGTGGAATTCTAATGTTCAGGCTTTCGCTGATTCAACAGTAGCTGTTATAAAGCATTTGAGACAGTTCGAGGCAGATTTACCACTAACACTCGGCAGCAGTAGAGGAAGTGAGTGGACACAGCACTCACTACTGGACACTCAACTAGAAAATTCTCATTACTAGAACAAAACCTCATATCTCCAAACCAGTAACTTTACACCAGAAATAAAATAAATAAAGAAGTCTTTAATTGTAATATAACAAGATATGTATTCTGCTGCAAATGTTTACACAACATAAGTGCCAGATAGTGTTTTCAAAGACATTGAGAAGGAGATAAAAAGAGAGACGTACTCCGATCAGCCATCACATTAAAACCTCTTTGTTTCTGTGCTCATTGTTATTTTAGCAGCGCCACTTACTATATAGTTGCACTTTGTAGCCTTCCTGTCTGTTCTTCAGTGGTCTCAAGACCCCCACAGGACCACCACAGAGCAGGTTTTATTTGGGTGGTGGATCATTCTCAGCGGCTGGAGTTTTTAAACACTGTGTCCACTCACTGTCCACTCTGTTAGACGCTCCTATTCTTTTTTGGTCCACCTTGTAGCTTATCTGTTGCTGCACTGATTGTCTTGGTCATCCTCTAGTGCTTTATCAGTGGTCACAGGACACTGTTAGTTGGGTATTTTTGGTTGGTGGACTATTCTCAGGCCAGCAGCAACACTGAGGTGTTTAAAAACTTCAGCAGCGCTACTGTGTCTGATCCACTCGCACCAGCACAACAGCAGTTAAGCAGTTACAAAGACATAGATTATTATTACTCAAAGTTGCGTATGATCACTTCTGATTATGAAATGAGTGCACACAAATATCATGACAATTTTATCCATCAATTTGACCTTTGGTGTATGATCAAACTCACGTCTGGTAGGAGTGCTTGTTCGTTTGAGAGTAATAGCTTAACAACCAAAATGCTTTTAATTAACCAAAACTGTTATCAGTATCCTCTCTAATGCCAAATATAAGAATAAAAATAGCAATAATACTAATTATGTACTTACTCTAAAGTTTGGTCAGTAGGGGGCGAAGTGCATCCACTGCTCGACCTCAAACTCCACCTGCGAGCTCAGCCATTGGCTCACAAGCTGCTGAGTGCTACCATATTACTGGCTCCTTACATCTGCATGAATTAGGGTGTGCTTTGATGAATAAGGGCCAGTGTCACCAAATACTAACGAAGTGCATATAAACTTTTGACCCACTAAAAATATAATATAACAAATAAAACTGTCTTAGCTATTATTTTGAAATCGCCTATTATGGAAATAAAGTCCACGTCTTAGTGGAAGTATGGAGATTGAACATTTTTAGCTTAGGTGTATTTGAAATTTTGGCCTCAACTGAATATTAACTCAGATTAAACATGACAGTTCCATTAAAAAATGTGCTTTCATTTTGCATATTTTGTCCCAGCCATAGTGCTTAAAAACCAAACTTGACCACCAGCCACCGCTGAGCTACAGCAATACAGAAGTTAATAGAAAGTCCCCACAACAACAGCAAAACAGTTTAAAAAATTATTGTGCTCTCACACTCACTTCCAGGATTTTGTTCTTGCTGTAGTGCTAAAAACCCAAACTTGACCACTAGCCACCAGAGAGTTACAGCAATACAGAGATTAAAAAGGAAGTCCCCACCAAGACAGCAATACAAACTTGTGTGTGAGTGTGTGAATGTAAGTAATAGGCGGTTCTGCTTAAGCAGTTTGCGGGAAGCTGCCTGCTTGTGTAATATATACAGACCATTAAAGTGGATTGAAAGAGTGCTTGTTGGACCTCATCAGTGTACAACACACACACACACACACACACACACTCACAGCCTATAACACCTTACCAGTACATTGCAGCTATCTAGGCAGAAATATTCACTGCGCCCGATTGAACAAAAAGAACAAATACACACTTTCGCTCTCTCTCTCTCTCTCTCTGTCTCTCTCTCTCTCTCTCTCTCTCTCACACACACACACACACACACCACACACACACACACACACACACAGCTGTCTAGTTTGCTGTAATAAGGTGTAGACCAAACACCGGAGTTGCTGTGTTATTTTTCCCACATTGTTCTTTTAAACCGAGACAGGGAGAGCTAGAGAGAGAGGGCAAGAGAGAGAGAGAGAGGGAGAGAGAGATTTAGCCTTCACTGCTGGGGTGCAATTTTCCACCCTGCACTCAAAATGTGTCCAATAACATATAACCTCACTCTCTCTACTTCTTTGTCTCTTTTTCTCTCTCTCTTTTTCTCTCTTTCTCTCTCTCTCACACCTTCACTCTTTTTTTTCCCCATTTGCAGCAGCACATTTGACGAGGCTCTGTCAGCATTTAGCTTTTTCCCATCAGAATTGTTTTTAGATTCCGCTCTGCCAAGGCAAAGCCAGCAAGAGGCAGCTTCAGCTCAGCAGCTTAATGACAATGCAGCACAATACACAACATAAGACAACACACAATACGTCATGTATCATAACATAACCCGTTATGGGACAGCCCAAAAAAAATCATGTAACGCAGCACACAATCTAACAACGTGTCACATAACAACATGTATATCTCCTAACAGTGTACATTGTGTCTCGTAACATAATACACATCACCTAACGACAGACTATGCACATGTAACACAGTATACAATATGTCATATAACATCACATAACACAATATACAATGTCATGTAATAGCATCTCTATTATCTGCTATGTAACACGATAATAAATTTCACTGAACAGAACAATACGTCATGTCACACAAAATAATACACAATACGTTACATATAACACACCACAGTGTGCATTACACACAGCACATCGCATAATAACACTGAACAAAGTCACATAACAACACTGTATGTCACGTTACTGCACAATATATGCCATGTAACACCTCATAGTACACAATATGTCACTTAACAAAACAATATACGTCACTTAATAACATAAAATACTGAGTAGGGTCTCCCTTTGTTCTCAAAACAACCTCAAATCTTCATGGTATGGATTCCACAAGATGGTGGAAACATTCCTTTGAGATTCTGGTCCATGCTGACATATTTGCATGGAGTAGTTCCTGCAGATTTCTCAGGTGCACTTTCATGCTGCAAATCTCCTGTTCTATGACATCCCAAAGGTGTTCTATTCGATTCAGATCTGCTGACTGGAAAGGCCAGTCACCAGATCTGAAGAACACTTTTTTATGTTATCAGTTTAAGACGACATTTGCTTTGTGACATTGCATTATCATGCTGGAAGTAACCATTAGAAGATGGGTAATCTGTGGCCATGAAGGGATGCACATGGTCAGCCACAAGACTCAAGGCTGAGGCATCTAAGCAATGATTGACTGTTATTAATGGGCCACAAGTGTGTGCCAACATTCGCCACACCATTACATCACCTCCACCAGCCTAGACTGTTGACATAAGGCAGTTTGGGTTCATGGATTAATGCGCTTGGTGCCAAACACTGACCCTAACATCTGTGTTCCTCATCAAAAATCAAAATTCATCAGACCAGGCTATATATTCCAGTCTTCAACTGTCCAGTTTTGGTGAGCCTGTGCACACTGCAGCCTCAGCTTTCTGTATTTGGCAGACAGAAGTAAAACATGATGTGGTCTTCTGCTGTTGTAGCCCATCCACCTCAGGGTTCAACGTGTTGTGCATTCTGAGATGCTTTTCTGCTCACCACATTTGTACAGAGTGGTTGTCTGCGTTAGCGTGGCCTTCCTGTCAGCTTGAACCAGTCTGGCAATTCTCTGTTGACCTCTCTTATCAACAATGTGTTTCCATCACTGGATGCTTTTTTATTGCACCATTCTGAGTGAACTCTAGAAACTGTTGTGCGTAAAAATCTCAAGAGATTAGCAGTTAGAGAAATACTCAAACCAGCCCATCTGACACCAACAATCATACCACAATCAAATCACAGAGATCACATTTTTTTCCCCTATTCTGATGGTTGATGTGAACATGAAACACAAAAAATACCCACATACCACAATACGCAACATGTACAAGACACAATTTAAAGCATGTAATGTAGCATAATACCCGTTAACGTTTATATGTTTCTTTGTTTTCTTTGTGTGTGTGTGTTTAGGTGCTGCCACGTCAGACTTGTGGTTTGTTCACACACACCATCTTCTATAAGGAATACCCTGGAGGCCCAAAAGAGTTGGACAAGAGCATCCGAGGAGGAGAACTCTTTCTGACCGTCCTGCTCAACCCTGTAAGTTTTCACATACACACATAGCAGAGAAGTTACAGTAAAACTTAGCTGGCATCGAATCCCAGCAATACCACAATCATGGGCTTACTGTTTCAGTCATGTCTGAGCACAGTGGAGTGGTAAAGTGTAGAGATTAGCTTTTTCCTTAGAGCACATTTAAGTACTCTGAGCTCATGCCTAGCTAGCTCTTTTTGGCTAGTTGCGTTTAAAATTCGTACTTGGAATAAGAACACCTCTGCTCCTGCTGATGTCTTGTAACAAGCTGATAGTCTCATAAAATAGAGCTATCTGAATTGAGTGAGACAATTACAATTTCTTATGGTCAACGGTCCGCAGCTAGGTTTTGGCTAGATTGAACGGCTAAAACGGCTAATTAAACAGTAAACAGTCATACTGATAAATAGTTTTTGTACTGTTCTTTGCCGATTGGGTGAATACAGCTGCCGTACAAACCTTTTTTGAAGCTTTCTGCTTTCCATAGTTCCAGTGTTGCTTCTCGTTGTTATCTGTTCAGTGAATACGTGCGCCAGAGGACCTGATTAGTCAAAGGAAGGTGAATTTGAGGGGAAACAGAATCTGATACAGCACCAGTGTTAGCCGTGCTGAATTGCTGTAGCTACAGGGTAGTAACTACAAAAGCATGTTAGCCGGCGCGCATTGATCTCAGTTGAGGATGCGGTTTTGGCAGGAAACTCTGATCCTGGAGTAACAGTTTATACTAAAAATACATTTCAGGCCAAAACTTTATAGCAAAAGTATCACAAAACAATGGCTCAGGTATCAAGCAACACATTCATAACCATTTTGTGTAATAACTTAATGGGATGTAGCTTTTTGGAGCCATTAAATGGTTCGGACGTCTGGTTTCTAATACTATAACAGTGAAGAATTCTGACTCCACTCTGAATGATTTTGTTTATATCTAAACCATTGAATCATTAAGTAATTTTGCAAAATCGGTGGAGCTTCCCTTTAAAGAAAATGCTGAGGGCTGAAGTACTCTGAGTTCGTGCCCAGCTAGCTACAGATAGTTTTGGCTAGCTGCGTGAAAAAATGTCTTGGCAGTCACTGCAGGTATTAGAATAATCCTGTTATTGTCTTGTGACTTGAGGATAGTTCTCTTAAAGTTGGAGATGACTGAATGAACTGAGAAATGGAAGCACTGCAGACAGAAGCACTTTGAGTTTTTGCCCATATAAAGGTAATGATAAAACTCGTACTTCAAGAAGAATTTCAACCACAATACTGGACCAACTGCTGTATCGCCCACTGTGTTTGTGTCCAGCTAGCTGTGGCTGGTTGCAACTAGTTGTGTGTATTGGCAGTCACTGGAGTGAGCGAGTCCCCCTCCTGCTGTTGTCTTGTGACTAAGGGACAGTCTCATAAAGTGGAGATGACTGAATAGGGTGAGAAACTTAAAGAAAACACAGCACACAGTGATCTCCTGCTGCGCCGCTAAGGCTCAGTGCTAAATAAATCTTTAGCCTGTCAGTAGCACAAGCAGCTGTATGTCTGTTATTAAATTACACAACTACAAATATTAATAAGCATCATCACAGTGGGAGCTCTCGTTGTGTCTCTCTGTCTCTCTCCCCCTCTCTCTCTGGCTCTCTTTCCTGTCTCATTGTTTCCCCTTATCTCGCCTTCCCTCTCTTTCTCTGTCTCATCCACTTTGTCATCTCTCTCTCTCTCTCTCTCCAGGGGTGCATGTCAGTGTTTTATAGATTAATTTTCCCAGCATGCTCTTTTCTCCCAGCATGCATTCCTCTGCTCCCCCACTGAGACTATGCTCTGCTCAAATCAGCTGCGACATTAAAAAACAAGAGCTTCTGGATATGTGTGTGTGTGTGTGTGTGTGTGTGTGTGGGTGTGCGTGTGTGCACGCACATTCAGCTCATTGTGGAGACCGAATGTCCCCAGATCGCTGGAGAACATAAAAATGTGACATCGTGGGGACCTCAGGCGGGAAAAATGGGTAACAATGCTTTTTTTATCAAATGTAAAAGAACCAGTAGGTTCCTTTTGGTTTCTGATATTAAGGTTAGGATAAGGGTCGGCAATGTGATTATATTTTGTTGTAGGGATACACCGAAATTTCAGCCACCAAAAATGGCTTAAAATTCTCGATGACCAAAAAGTGGTGGGGGGAAATTTTGAAAAATCAAAACTGCAAGTGTGCTAATAAATCCATGGCTGACTGATTGACAAATGAAAAAATTCTCTGACAAAAGACAACTAAGCCATTCAATAAGTAAAACTAACTTTCAGTGCTACATATAGTGTCATGTCTGTAATATAATGCCATGTCCTTGTTAACCTAATAATACGTTTACATGCCCTTAATAATCCGATAACTGCAGAAAATCAGATTTTGTCAGTAATCCTATCAATACGTTTATATGCTCTTGAGTAATCAGATAATGGGAAACTCCAGGTCTACATGAGTCAGGCAGTAATCGGATTCTGCTTTGCAACCAGCCCAAAAAAGTCAGAGTAAGAGTATATATGCGCTGAGAAATCCGATTATTGAGCTAAAATCCAGCTCAGCTTTCTTAATCGGATTTCTAGATCGGAATATGCTGTTTACATGACCATTTGAATAATCAGATAACTGCAGAAATCTGATTATGATTGGATTATTGAGTGCATGTAAATGCACTCGATGCCAGTTTATGTTTTGAATGGGTTTGGCCAAAGTCCTTACATTATAAAGGAGGAGACTGCCCTTCAATAAAAAGAGCCAGTTGCCTTTTTCAAATGGCTATATGAGGCAATAACCCACTCACCTGGTCTTGGAGATCCACCACCCTGGAGAGTTCATATCCAACATGCCCGGTTCTAAACGCAGATGCTCCTGAAGGTCTTCTTTACCTTTACATCAGTTTAGGTTCAGAGCAAAACTACAGGGTGGTAAAACTCCAAGACCAGGATTGGACACCCCTGATTTAGTCCTGAAGCTGAAACTGAGAATTTAATTGGTTCTGCTGCCGTGTTTGACTCTCTGTCTGTTTGTGCTTATAGGTCAGCAGTCTGTGCAGTTTATAGAGTGGAGGTTTTTTTGATGTAAGCTTTTGGAACCCCAGAATGTGGTGGGGTGTCGCCCCTGTACTTCAAAAAGTCAGGGGTTAAAATGCCTGCTCGCCCCTGTTGTTTCAGCGGCCAGGCTTGACAATGACTCTTCAGATGTGAGCACTTCTACAACAAGCTGTATCAGCATTAGGCAAGCAGCTCAAACAATAACATGGTGGAGAGAAACAGCCGAGAGGCTATAGAGCGATGGAAAGAGCATGATTCCATGCTTTAAAATGATTCAGATAGATCTTCTTTCTATTCTCTGCACAAATTCGTGCAGAAACAGTGACAAGAAGTTTCTCAGTCTTGAGTCTGGCATGTGATAGACTCTTCTCATGTTTATTCCTGTGAGACAGTGGGATTTTGTCATCAGGTGCACTTTTGCCATGGATCTCTCTGGGTGACAGACTGTGTTTGTGCACCTCGGCTGCAGTCCCTCATATAGCGTTCTCACCGCTATGTAGACAAACAGCAGATCACAAGCGCAGACTGTCACTACAGCAGCGTTTAGCTACAATAATACAAAAGTCAGTAGAAGGACTTTGTAAAGACAAGACAACGTTAAATATAAATGTTGGACCACAGTGCAACTTCAGCACAGAGCTGATGATCATTACACTGGAAAACTCTCACAGTGAATGTATGTAAGTGTATGTGCTGTACGTATGTGTGTGTTACGAGTCATCTCAAAGTTCAGTGGCCTGAATACAACCTCACTGTGCACACACTGCGTGTGCCTCTAATGACTCTGAGTCTCTTTATCAGTATACAGAACTAAACAAGAACCAGAGCGAGAGGAAGAGAGAGCGATAGAGAGAGAGAGAGAGAGAGAGAGAGAGAGAGAGAGAGAGTGAGGAAAACAAGAGAATGTGAGAAAGTATAGAAATAGAAGAAGAGGAAGATAATGAGAATGAAAAAAATAGAGAGGAAGAGAATGAGAGATGAAGATTAGAGAGTGGATGACAGAGAGAGAGAGAAACAGCAAGAATGAGAGAGTGGAAGAGATGAAGACAGAAAGAAAATGCATGAGAGAGGAAGGTAAAGAGAGAATGAGAGAAAGCAGAAAAGAGAGAATAAGAGAAAGGAAATGAGAATGAGAGAGAAAGAAAGAAAGAAAGAGAGAGAAACAGAGGGAATACGTGAAATGAAAGAAGAGAAAAAAAGAGAATGCAAGAGTGGAAGAAATAGAAAGCGAGAGAGACAGTAAGAAATAGAAAAGGAGTGAAAGAGAAACGAAAAAAGAGAAATACTACAAGAAAGACAAAGAAAGGAAGAAAGAAACAAGAGAAAATAAGCAAGATAGAAGTATACAGAAAGAATGAGAGAAATAAGAGGAGAGAAAACGAGAAAGGAAAAGAAAGGCAAGAAAGACAGTGAGAGAAAGTCAAAGGGAGAGAAGAAAAGAGAGATAAGGAACAAGAGAGAGGAAGAGATAGAAAGAAAGCGAGAGAGACAGTAAGAAATAAAAAAGAAGGAGAGAGAAAGAAGGAAAGAAATACTAAGGGAAAAACTGAAAGAGACAGAAAGAAAGGAAGAAAGAAAAAGAGAAAGAAATCAAGACAAAAAGAAACAGAGAAAAAAGGAAGAAAAAGAAGGAAAGAAAGACTGAGAAGGTCAGAATGACTGAGAGAAAGTCGAAGAAAGAGAAGGAGAGAGATGAGAAGAGAGAGAATCAGAATGCGTAAAATGGAACGAGAGAGGAAGAGAGAATGAGAGCGGAAGAGATAGCTAGAAAGCGAGAGAGACAGTAAGAAATAAAAAAGAGGTAGTGAGAGAGGAAGAAAAAGAAAAGAGAAAAGAGAGAAATACTAAGAGAAAACAGAAAGAAAAAGACAGAAAGAAACGAGAAGGAGAAAGTAAGACAGAAAGAAAAATGAGAGAGAGAAGAAGAGAAAAAACAGAAATAAGAAGATAGAGGCTGAGGAAGA